CCTTGGAAAGCTGGGAATGGAACCACCATTTGTCCTAGCTCCCCCCTCTTTGGTCTATATCCAAAGGATTTAAAAACAGTATCCTACAGGGACACAGCCACATCAATGTTTATAGCAACACAATTCACAATAGCTAAATTGTGGAACCAACCTAGATGCCCTTCAATAATAGATGAATGGATAAAAAATGTGGCATATATACACAAGGGAATATTACTCAGCAATAAGAGAATGAAATAATGGCATTTGCAGGTAAATGGTTGGAGTTAGAGAAGATAATGCTAAGTGAAGTTAGCCAACCAATCCCCCAAAAAACCAAATGCCGAATGTTTTCTTTGATGTAAGGAGGCTGATTCATAGTGGGATAGGGAGCGGGAGCATGGGAGGAATAGACGAACTCTAGATAGGGCAGAGGGTGGGAGGGGAAGGGAGGGGGCAGGGGGTAATTAATGATGGTGGAATGTGATGATCATTACTATTTGGCTCTATCTGTGTAATAAGAATCGTAATGCATTCTGCTGTCATATATAAACAAAAAATTTACATAAAAAACATCCTTTTAAGATTTTGAGGGGAGAAGAATGAGCCCCCATGGACATTCAGGTTGGCCCGGGACTCTGTCTGTGAATCTGGAGACACCACAGTGCAGGAAGACCCTTCAGGGATCTGGGGACCCCCAGCTGAAGCAGAGCTACTCACCATTGACACACAGACTGTTCCTTTCGAGAGAGTAGGGGCCCAGCTGGGTGACACCATGGGTCAGCCGGCTCAGCTCCCAGTACAACTGCTCCCTGTCCAGCCTGGGGCCTGTGGGACCTGAATAGTAGCTGCACACTGCGTCGATCCTGGTGCTCATCTTATCCTTTTCGGCTCTGGGGAGAGAGGGACATGGGCACAGGGTTGGAGACTCCGCCCCACTACCTCCAGTTGTACCCCTGGTCTTTTAGTCAGCACCTCGGCCTGGGTTGCCCCTGTTCTTTGTTTCTTTTCCTCTTTCATCTGGGGATCCAGACCCCACCTCTTTAAATGTAGCCCCCCAGGGCTGCTCCGCTCCCTGTGCTCTTCTTATAACTCCCCCCGGGCTCTTTGTTTCCACCCCCAGCCCCTCCACACTCCCTCCCTCCATTCCGGGAAGAGCCCAGTCCTGCTGGGCCGTGGGGCTAGGAGGTGGAGCTCCCCGGGAGGGAACTGAGAAGCCTGGGACCAGGCTGTGGAAAGGAGAATGGGGACATGGGCATGTGGGCCATCTCCCCATGGCTGCTGCCTGGGCAACGGCCATCATGGGGCCTGACAGGGTGACTTCATCAGAAGTGGGTGGGTCCCAAGGCTGGGTTCAGGAAAACCTCTGGGTAGGCAACTAAGTTTGGAGAGAGAGAGAGAGAGAGAGAGAGAGAGAGAGAGAGAGAGGGAGGGAGGGAGGGAGGGAGAACATGTATAATGGCATTAAAAAAACAATGTAAGAAGTAATTAGGAAGCCTTGTTGGGACACAGAGTAGCTCTCTTTTTAGTTTTTTTGAGGAAACTTCGCACTGTTTTCCATGAGAGCTGTTCTAATTTACATCCCCACCAAAAGCATTTGAGAGGGTTGGGGCCATGGCTCAGTGAGACAGCGCTTGCCTCACACAGGTGAGGCACTGGGTTTGATTCCCAGCCCTGCATATAGATAAATGAATAAAATAAAGGTCCATCAACAACTAAAAAACAACTTTAAAAAAAGTGTATGAGAGTTCCTCTTTCTCTGTATTTGTTATTTTCTTTTGTCTGTTTGATTATAGCCTCTAACTGGGGAGAGATGGTCTCGTGCGGCACTGTTCATAGTAGCCAAGATGCAGAATCAATCTAAATGTCACACACACACACACACACACACACACACACACACACACACGTGAGTGCATGCACTATTATTCAACCATAAAAGTGAATGAAATCCTGTCCTTTTGGGCAACAAGATGAACCTGAAGGACATTATGGTAAGTGAAATGAGCCAGAAAGACAAAATACCACATTTTCAAATCAAACTAAAAAATATTGATCTCAGAGATGTGGAGAGTGGAATAGAGTTAACAGAGGCAGGGAAGGGTGGGGTGGGAGTGGGGAGAGGTGGATAGAGACAGAGACATTGGTGACTGGGTAAGAAAAAAAAATAGGTTCTGGTGTTCCACAGGACGGGAAGGGAACCACAGTTAGCAATAATTTATTGCATATTTCAAAATAGCCAGAAGACTTTGCATATTCCCAGTACAAAGAAATGATAAGTGTTGGAAGTGACGGAAGTGTAATCACCCTGATGGGATCATTATACACCGTGTACATGTATCAGAATATCACATCATACCCCATAATACAATATTTTGCATCATCTAGATTTTTATGTTTTCATTAGTGCATTGTAGTCATGGATGCAAAACTAATTTATTTTTAAAGAAGCAGTGAGGCAATGTCATTCCACAGTATCTTTGTCATGAGTTTAAGCTGACCTGTCTGAGATGCCCGCTAGGGGACAGCTGTACTGGTGGAGAGAGGTAGCCCTGTACTGGCTGGGAATGTTGCTGCTGTTATCTGTGCTGCTCAGAGCATTTCTTCTCATTGCCCATGAGTGTAGTACTACTCTCAAAGTGTGGTCTAGGGACTCCTGGTGTCCCCAAAAGACTTACAAGGAGCCCACCAGGTAAGACATCATTTTCCTTTTTCATTTACTCAGGAGTATACAGTGATTCCCCCACCCCAGTGGTCCCTTAAGCTAAAATATTCAAACAGATTGAAGGCAGAAGCACATATCTAGCTATCTTCTTCTAGGCCAGACATTGCAAAGTTTGGTAAAAACGTAAACAATACCTCTCTTCTCCTTATGCTATTTAAAAAATATGGCTATTGTTCTTAAAAATACATTATTTGCATTAATATGAGTAGTCAGGTCTGTATATCCATGAGATCCACATTTGCAGATTGAACAAATCTTGGATCAAACATACTTTTTCAAAAAATTGCATCTAGAGCTGAGGACACAGGTTGGTGGTGCAGTGCTGACCCAGCATGAGGCTCTGGGTTTGGTCTCCAGCCCCAGAGTATGTACATACATACTCTGCATAAAGTTATATCTGTACTAAGTATGTTCAGATGGTCCCCCTTGGCATTTCCCCTAAGCAATGCAGCCTAACCATTATTTCATAGTCTTTATATTCTATTAGGTGTTATAAGCAATCTAGAGATGATATGAGAGGTTGTGCGTAGGATATGCAAATCCTCTGCCACTTTATATAAGGGACACGAGCATCTGCAAATGTTGGTATCCTTGTGGATCTTGGGGCAAATCCTCCATGAATGCTAATGATGGCTGCATTAGGTTTATTATGTTGAATGAATGAATAAGTACTTATAAAATATATCAGCTTTAATAATTTTCAATACAGCAAATATGGGGAGGGCAGAACCCCCAAGTTCTCTGGAGTCTGAGCACTTTTTAATTTAATTTTTTTTTCTGAGCACTTTTTAAGAATGTTAATTTGTTAGGAGGGGCCTGTGAGATGATATTGGTAAAAGGCTACAGAGTTTTAGTGATAAGATGGGTCAGTTCTGCAGACTTGATGTGCAGCGTGTCGATGATAGTTGACAATACTGCATTGTACCCTTGAAATTTGCTATGAAGATAGATCTTCAAGTAAACTTCCCCAGCAATCGTGTACAACTATGTAGAGGTGGTCGACATGCTAATGAGCCGATTGTGATTATTGGATGAATTGCGGTATGTCTACATACATCACATCATCAGGTCATACACCTTAAATGTCCACAATGGGTCATTAAGGCTGGTAGGAAAAAAAGAGTGCAAAAGGTGTTGACCCCAGTGACCTTGAGCTCTGCTGGAATCCTGGTTAAGAGCAAGGACTCCTGAACCAGGACACTCGGGCTCCAACCTTGGCTCTTCTCAAGCAGTAACTTGATTATTTTGAGCCTCAGTCTTCTCATCTCTAGAGTGGGACCATACTTGTGTGGTTTTCATCCTTGGGGACTAAATGAAAACACGTAAGGCACTAGACCGAGGGTGGCATGTGGCCATGCCATGGTTACTGATTCCCTCCGCCTGTGGAGGGAGGGGGCCAGGAGGAACAGGTGGAGGTCAATGAGGACAGATCCCATCCATGACGCTCCAGCAATCTCTCCACTCACAGGATGGGGTGGTAAGCCCTCCCTTTTGACAGGATGATCCAAGTTTATTGGATGGAGGACTCCATGGAGACGCCTTAGGGACATAAGCTGTAAGGGGAGGGTGCTGAGCCCTAGGGACCACAAAGGAGCCAGGCAGAGCAGAGTCGGCAGCCTATTTCTGCCGTGTTTAGGTCCCTTGAAGATTATTTCAATTGCAAGATCTCCTGTGTCAGCTCAACATTTGCTTCCTTTTCCACTATTTTAGTAGACTTGGGCATGTCCTTGCCTCTTTTTCAGGGAACAAACTGCAGAGATGGTTTGGGTCGGGGAAGATGCCGGGGGTTCTGGGCATGGCGTTCACCAAGATGCTACACTGGCTATCCCTATGAGCTCCAATTAAGTGAGAGCAGGCACTGCACTGGACCAGGCAGTATCTGGCTTATTTCACTGTGCTGAATAATGAACAAGCCTCAGAGAAAGAGTCTGTTGTTATCAAGATTCTATAGATTGAGGAACAAAAGGGTATATATCTTGCCCGATGTCACACAGCCGGCAAGTGAAAGAGCACAGGCTCACAGTCTAGCCTGGGGTCCACTAGTCTATATTGCCTCTCAGCAAAAGTCCGAGAAGCTGTGGCTATCTAGGATGTGGAGGGCCAAGAATTAAGACAGAATCGAGGTTGCCATTGGCCACGAGGGGAGTCTCACCTGAGCATTTTCAGCCTGCAGTCAGCGTAGAAGGAGCCGAGACTGCTGTTCCTGAACAAGGGCTTGAGCTGGGGAGGAAGGAGAAAGAGATGAACAGGAGGGGCCAAGGCAGCAGGGCGGTGGCCGCCGGGTAGGGGATCTTACCAGGTGCTGCAGGGTCCTCTCGGTGGCATTGAATATCCCAGAGCCTGGAAGCCCCATGTCCTCCGTGTAGGGCAGGTTGGTGATGGTGAAGTTGATAGTAAAATATACCGTCAAAGGAACCTCAGCTGCATGGGGGAGGGGAGAAGAGGGCAGCACTGTCAGTCCTGGGCAGAAGAGGGAGGGAGGGCTCTGAGGACGAACTTCAGCTCTGGCACCCAGGGAGGGTCTGTCCTGCGGAACTGCTTCATGAGTTCCCACACCAGGAACCTCCTACACAAGGTGACAGCCGTCCCAGTTTGCTAAGGAAGGTATGAACTCCTGGGCACAGGCTCAGTTTTCAAAGTGAGAGGGTTCCCACGTCCCGTATCACCATGGCCATGTTTACCACAGCACTGTCCACAGAACCAAGATACGGACTCAGCCTAGTGCCCATCCACGAGCGAACGGATAAAGAAAACAAGGTGTGCACCCACGTCTTCCTCCAAAAGAATGATGTCTTACTCTGACAAAAAGAACTAGAGGACATGGAGATTCCTCAGAAAACTGGGAATGGAACCACCATTTGACCCAGCTATCCCACTCCTTGGTTTATACCCAAAGGACTTAAAATCAGCATACTACAGTAATGCAGCCACATCAATGTTTATAGCAGCTCAATTCACAATATGGAACCAACCTAGGTGTCCCTCAATAGATGAGTGGATAAAGAAAATGTGGTATATATACTCAATGGAATATGACTCAGGTTTAAAGAAGAGTGAAATTATGGCATTTGCCAGTAAATGGATGGAGTTGGAGAATACCATGTTAAGTGAAATAAGCCAATCCCAAGAAACCAAAGGCTGGATGTTTTCTCTAATATGTGGATGTTAATTCACAATAAGGTGAGGGGGAACTAGGGAAGAATAGTGTGACTTTAGACTAGGTAGAGGGAAGTGATGGGAGGGGAGGGGAGGGGGTGTGGGGATAGTTAAGATAGTGGAATGACATTATTACTGTATGTATATATGTGACTGCGTGACCCATGTGATTCTGCAACATGTACACTCTGACAAATGAGAAATTATGTCCCATCTATGTGTGATCTATCAAAGTGCATAGATGCATTCTACTGTCCTGTATAACTAATTAAAACAAATTTAAAAATTAAAAAAAAAAGAACTGGAGGACATTACGTTAGGTGAAATAGACCAGGTGGGGAAAGACAAGTGCGACAGACTCTTTCTCCCCCGTGTGGGTGTAAAGGAGGTCTGTCTGCAGGGTGGAGAGGGAGGGCCCAGGGAGGCAGGGGAGGAACGGGGGAAACACTGGGGACTGAATCAGAGCAAGTGAGATTCCATGCTTGTGTAGTTATGTCAGAATGAATCCCAACATTATGTACAACTAAAAAACCATTAAAACACCCAATCTGAGTGAAAGATGGTGGCCACTTGAGGTTGGGCAGGGTGAGGGTAGAGAGGACAGAGAGAATTAAATAACAGATACAAAAACAGAGACAGAAAGCAAAAGCCCTGGTGTTGTACAGCTCAGTGGGGTGACCAGAGCTCAAGATAACCTGGTAGAGATTTCACAGAGAGCTAGAAGAGGGGACATTCTGTTCCAGTTAAGTGAAAACGTTATGCCAAGTGAAATCAGCCAGATTCCAAAAGGGGAAATGTGGTACGATCTCACTGATACAAACTATCCAGAAGGGGCAAATTCGTGGGGGTAAGTAGATTAAAGGTCACCAAGGGCTGGCAGGAATAGGTAGAGACTGCAGAAAGGGTACAGAGGTTGGGGTGATCAGAGTTTTAAAAACAGTGGTAATGGTTTCACCACAGTAAGAATACAATGAATGCTGCTGAACTCTACGTCTAAAATGCTTAAACGGGCAACCTGGATGGGTTCTCTACGTCTTTTACTACAACAAAGACAAGCCGCTCTTTCTGACCTGTTCCTGGAGTCATGCTCTCAGGGCCCCAGGTGGACATGGCGGGTGTGGTCAGAGGGCTAAAGGGCCTTCCGGGCAGTGTGCCAAAGGTGATTCTGGTGTCAGCCATCGTGGAGCTCCAATCGGCGGCAGCTAGATGAGGGGTCCCCTCAGTGGTAGCTTTCAGGGTAGTGGTTTGACCTGCTCCTTCTCCATGACTGGCTGTAGGTGATGTTGGGCTCTCTGATGGTATCAAGGTCATAGTGGTATCTGTGACAGTCCTGGAAATATCTGGGAGTCCAACTGCAGTTGCAGGCAGTGAAGTCTCTGCGCTCCAGGAGGTCACCGTAGGGGGCTCACTTGGTGTAGGGGCACTGGGAAGCCCGGGGACGCTGGGGGGAATGGTCGGAGCGGGGATACCTGTGCTGGCCTCTGCTGAGGGGCTGGGGGCGCTGGGGGTTGATGTTGAATCGGGGGACAGGGTTATGGCTGGAACAGTGTGGCTGGTCTCTGTCCCGGGGCGGGTGGAAAGTGAGGCTGCTTCTTCTTCGGGAGCACCCGTTGTCACAGTCGGGCCTGGATTAGCTCTGCTGGTCTCGGTCGCAGGCGAGGCGGAGAGAGGAGTCGTTGTCTCTGGTCCACCGCGTGAAGCAGCGTGAGTCAGGATCCCTGTACTAACCTCCGCCCCAGGTCCCAAGGACAGGGAGGCTGTGGTCTCTGATAAAGGAGGAACAAGAGTCGAGGCAGGGACTTTGGTGCTTGTCTGTGCCCTGGGAGGGGTGGCCCATGAGGCTGTGGTTTCTGGTTCACCGGGAGAGAGAGTTGTCATCAGGAGAGTCATCCTGGCCGGTAGTTCAGAACTAGTGACCTGTGGGGTCACCGTGTCTTCGGGTGCTTCAGGTGAGGCAGTCCTGACTGGCTCAGCTGAACTGGCTTCTGTCCCGGGACTGGCGGCCGCTGAGGGTGTGGTGTCTGATCCACTCTGGGGAAAACCTGGGGGTGGCCTGGGGACGGCCGGGCTCGTCTCTGTAGGACGGGTGACTCCAGCTGTTGCAGCTGGCTCACCAGGGGAAACCGTCGGGGTGGGCACAGCTGAACCGGCCACGGCCCCGGGGTGAGGGACCCGCGAGGTTGTGGTGCCCAGTCGATCTGGGGAAAGGGTCAGAGCTGGAGTGGTTGTACTTGTCTCTGTCCCAGAACGAGTGACCAGTGAGGTCACCAGTCCTTTTCCACCAGGAGGGACAGTCCTAGTTAGAACGGCTGCACTGGTCTGCTCCCCAGTCTGGGTGACCCATGAGGCTGCGGTATCTGATTGAGAAGAAGAAAGAGCCAGGCTCGGAGGACTTGTACCGGTCACTGCCAGAGAACTAGTGACCGGTGAGGTCACTGCCTCTTGCACCTGAGGTGACACAGTGGAGGCGGAGACAGCTGAACTGGCTTCTTCCCCAGGAACAAGGGCTGTTGAGGGTGTGGTATCTGATTCACTAGGAGGAAAGCTTCGGGTTGTCCTGGGGACCGCTGGGCTGGTCTCCGTAGGATGGAGGCCCAACGACTCTGTGGTCTCGCTCCTACTGGGTGAAGCCGTCAGAGTCGGGGCAGCAGAACTGGCTTCTGACCCAGGATGGGTGACCCACGAGGCTGTGGTCTCTGGTTGGTCAGGGGAAAGAGTCCGAGTTGGAAGCAAACTTGTCTGAGCTCCAGAACCGGTGACCCATGCAGTCCCTGTCCCTGGCACGCGAGGGGAGACGGTCAGAGCTGGAGCGGGTGAACCTGTCGGTGGCCCAGCATGGGTGACCAATGAGGCTGTGGTCTCCGGCTCACCGGCTGGAACCGTCAGGGTTGGAATATTCCTAATGGTCACTGATGTATAAGGAGTGGCGAGTGAGATCACGGTATCTGGGATATCAGGTGGGACCCCTGTGGCTGGGATATCAGAACCGGCTTCTTCTCCAGGCGCGGCGGCTGTTGAGGGCATGGTATCTGATTCACCTTGGGAAAAACCCAGGGTTGTCCTGGGGACTGCTGTGCTGGCCTCCGCAGGGTGAGTGACCCGTGAGGTTGTGGTATCTGGTTCTTCAGGGGAAATAGTCTCTGCTGAAACAAAGGAACTGGCTTCTGTCTCAGCCTGGGTGACCCATGAGGTATCCAGGTGACCTGGGGAAGCAGTGGGAGCTGGAGGAGTAGTAGTCGTCTCTCTCCCAGAACTAGTGACCAGTGACGTTGCCCCCTCTGATACGTCCGGCGAGATGGAGGGATTTGGAGTGGTTGGAATCTTTGGTGTGCCGTGGCTGGTGGCCAGAGAGGCTGTGGTCCCTGGTTTATCAGAAGGAGTTTGAGTTGGTTTAGTTGAACTGGTGTCTGTCCCAGAGCTAGGGAGCTGTGAGGTCACCAGTTCTAGTATGTCAGGCGATGCAGTCATTGTTGGAACGGCAGAGGCGGATTCTGTCCCAGGACTGGTATCCATTGAGGAAGGGAGGTGCGGTCGACCCCGGGGAACATTGGGGCTGGTTCTAGAGAAAGGTGCTGTGGTCACTGCCTCGGAACTAGTGGTCAGAGAGGCCTCCAGTCCTGATGCACCCGAGGAGACGGGCGGGGTTGAGGTGGAGTGACCTGCCTGTATCTCAGGTTGGGTGACCTGTGAGGCTGTTGAATCTGACTCAGGAGAAGACGCAGCAAGAGTTGGGACAGCTGAACGGGTCTGGGCCCCGGGACTGGGGACCAATAAGGCTGTGGCCTCCGGTTCTCTGTTGAGTGGAGAGGGGGTTGTCCCGGGCACAGCTGTGCTGGCGATAGGTTCTCTAAGACCCGTGGCCGAGGAAGCCGCTGCCTCTGGAGCTGCGCTGATGGTTCCCCCCGATATCTGGAGCTTCAGGTCTTCTGAGGTGGGGATGGAGATCCAGGTGATGAAAGAGGGGGTGGCGGTGGTCTGCAGAGGTGTGGTCTCTGCTCTTCCTGTCCTCCCTGTGGCTGGACCTGTGAATTGGGGGATGGACCCACAAGTCAGTCAAAATCATCACACTTACTAGACTGCAAATAGCTTTATGTGAGGAAAGAGAGAGAGAGAGACATGTATTCCCTGGGATGTGGGTGACTCTGGCATGGAAAAGGGTCGTGCCCTACCTTATGGTCACATCCTGGGCTGGGACTCCTCTGGAGTAGAGGCCAGGGACGCTGCTAGTTATTCTACGACACATGGGGAAGTTGTTCACTAGGAAGAACCTCCTGCCCCAAATGCCAGTAGCTTGGAGGTCGAGGAACCCCGCTTTGTATTAAATGAGGGGGTGCTGACTGCCCCACAGACATCTTGCCCTCTCAGTGTTGGTCACCACCGGGAGGCTGGTGAGCCTCTTCTAGTGACCTGATTGATGTAGCTGGTCCTACAAGCACTGGCTGCTGCAGGAGAGCCCCCCAAAGTGTCCCTACTACAGCTCTGTGCCTCCATGCCCGAGAGAGGTCACTCAGCAGGGCTGTCATCCCTTCCAGGAGTAAGCAGCTCACAGCCAGTGATAGAGGGGAGTGGGATGGCGGATACCGCAGCCACCTCGCTCTTTGGAGGGGACAGTGCCAAGGGGACTGCCCCTCAGAGATCCTGGTGGGATTGGTGCTCTGTGACCTGCTCGGGGTGTCCCCTCTGCTGCCTCCTTCTCTGTCTCCTCCACCAGGGCTTCCTGGGACCACCCCCCACAGAACACAAACTACTTATCCCTGTTCCTTGGACCTACCGTGGTCTGCTTCTGGGGAAACCCAACCCAAGATGCTTGGCGTCCCATGAGAAAACCCATAGCGAGGCTCGGAGGTGACTCTGTCTTAGAAAAAGTGGGTTGATAAAAATAGTCTGGTTTCTGAACAATTTGGGAATAACTTCGTGGACATGGGAAGCTTTACCTTTAACCACACGGTGAGGAGGACCCCTGCTAAGTACACCCGTACCTCTTACGGTTACATGGAATAATAATCCCACAGAGTGGTAAGCGTCTTTCAGAGGAAAAGATGATGCTGTCACCTAACCTTCTTAAAGCCCAGACTGAACAAAGCTCAACAGGTTTCTTTACAGGACTTCTCAGTGCTTTTATTATGTCTGTGCACGCGGCCACGCTAAGAAGGGGCAATATGTATGCTAAACCTCTTGGACCACAAACTTCTTTGTCCTTTTGTTCAGAGGTAGCCAAGCAATACAAAGGCTTAGGAGGTTTTCTGCCCCCATCTCCAGCCTTATCTCCCACTGACCACATACATCTCATACTTGAGCAAATCATCACTACTATGATTTAGTCATACCCAGCTATCCCTGGGTTTCACCTCTCTTTGTGCCTAATGTGCCACTCTGTCCTGCATCTAGTAGGTCTTCCTCCACTCCCCCTGTCTTCCTGGCAAACTCCTCTTCATCCTGTACAACCCAAGGCAAATGTTCCCTCCTCTGTGAAGCTTTCCCTCTGTGGCTCCAGGGTGCCTTCATGGCCAACGTTTAAATTTACAACATAGTTATTTTGTTCCTTTGCCATCTCTCATGGATGCAATACCAAAATGTTTTCATCCTGCGCTTCCTTGATTTATACCAGAGTGTCCGGCATGAAGTGAGTTATCAGTAGAGGTCTTGAGAATTAAGGTAAACTGAGTCAAATTCTCTGACCTTGAACATCTCTGACCTTGAACTAAAGACCCTCAGCATTGCTCTGAAGAGAAGAAAAGTGGTAGCATCCACCCAGTCACCATGAGACAAAGATCCAGCTGAGACAGGGAGATTCGTGACAGGTCACACACGATTCTCCTTCCAAAGAAGTCAGCTTCCTGGCTGGAGTCGGAGGCCAGGGCACAGGTGGGGTTTCTAGGAAGCGAACCAGTCAAACCTACCTTTAGAACCAGCAGGTGATGTGGCTGCCAGAGGGCCCTCGACGGGTCCCGCGGTGCCTCTGGGGGCCGCTCCATTGGGTTTCTTTGTGTGCCGCTCCACAGTGTCATCGGGTTCTATAGGAGAGGGTAGGGAGAAAACTGGGGTCACTCATCTCACCCAGAAGGAGCCCATGTCCACATGTGTCCACGTCATCACTCTGCCCCTCATGTCCTTCTGCATGTGGCCTGTCCACAGACCCATCCATCTGCCCGTAGAGCTGCCCGTCCTTCGCCCAGGTCTAGACCTGACCGCCTTCTCTTCCATCTTTGCTTCCTTTTAACCCTTTCTCCCCCGCTGCCCACCCTTCGCCTTTCCCTTGTTCCTCTCTGCCTTTCCCCTCTCCTCTTCAGTCTTTACTCCCTCCCGTCATCCTTCCACCGTCTTTCCTACCGTTTCAACTGCCTTCAGGGCTGCCTTCTTTCTCTCCTGCTTTCTGTCCCTCCATCTCTCCATTCTTTCCCTCCTCCCTCCATCCGGCCACACCTTCCCCTTCCTGCCAGCTCACGCACCTCTGGCTTAATCAACACTCATGCCCTAACTAGGGAACCGTGGCTCCGAGACGTGGGCTGGGAATTGTCCAAGCCAGCTGGGGGGAGGGGATCACATTAGGATCCTGGGGAGACACGGTAGTGAAGTAGGTGCTTCACCCTAACCCTAACCCTTTAAGAAGAATAGACTCTCCAAGAGGTTTCTTCCCTGATGGGTTGCTCTCTGGGAAGTGGTGTTTCCCAGTCTCCAGGTCCCTTCCACATCCCTGAGTACCCTGTCTCCCCAGGTTTCAGGTGCTCACCTCTGGTCTCACTTATGTCTGTTTGGTCTCTTCTCCCCTACAAAAACATGCTCCACCCAAAGGTGAAACTTCTCTCTCATACCTTTGCATTATTTGAGCTCTTCTCTTAGTCCCCTAACCTCAGGGATACACCCTTCATTAGAATCTCTGAGGATCCCCATGTTGCCAAAGACACTTCACGGCCCATTTCAACACGGCCTGCCGTTTAGTAGCATTTGACAGAACTTATCTTTTCTCCTGAAAACGGCACCCTCCTGTGGCTTCAGAGATCCTAGAATCTCTGGCTTTTCTAGCTAACTCCGAGCATTCTGGTTTAGCCTGAGGGTTAACAGCACGGATTCCTAGTGCTACATAGTCTGAGTTCTTGTTCTAGTTCTGTAACTTATCATCTTTGTTACCTTGAGCAGGTAACCTCTCTGCATCTCACAACTTCTTCCTCTGCAAAAGAGGCTCGTGAAGAGCCCCCCCTCCAAATAATGTTGCAGTGAGGATTTAAAACCTTAATGAAAAAGTGCTTAATGTGGAATACATGCTATAAACATTAGCTGTCATCCTCGTCATCATCATCATCATCATCAGTAGTGGCAATAGCAGAGCATCTGTCATGGGTTATCATTTTTCCACCACTTGCTTATCACCTGTGCTTCCCCATGCCTAGCCCAGCGCTTGGAGTGGAAATGAGATCAACAGATGTTTGCAAAAAGAAATTCAGGTACAGGAAATACTCCTCATTATTTTCCTTTTCCCTCTTAGGAAAGTGCTATTTCCTAGGATCCTCTCATGAGTGGGTGTGTAGGAGATATAGGTCCTTACTTGTGAATTGGGTGGAGGGTGGAGGAACTGCAAAAGCACTTGTATCTGTTTTTGAGTCAATACTCTCAATGGCTCTGATATTCAAAGTGGGTGATACAGAGGTCTTGACTGGCTGGGTGCTGGACTCCAACACACTGAGCGTCATCAAGGATCCTTCAGTAGGGATGCTCTCTGTCCCAAGATGGGTAGCGGGAGAGGAAGTAGTCCGAGGGAGGGCTGGGCTGGTTGAAGAGCCAGTCGTAGTGGAGACAGAAGAGGATAATGGTCTAAAAGTGGATGAAGGCAAGTTCCCTGCAATCATGGACATAGTGGCAGGGCCAGGTGAATGGGACCCTGCCCAGGATCTGGTGGTTGATGTCTCCCAGGTAAGGGTATCCTGTGTTGTATCCTGAGAAGGACTTGTGTGGGTGGTGATAGTTACTTCTGAAGAATCTGTCTTGGTGGAGGAGGCGAAGAGCCTGGCTATTGTCCGAGTGGAGAAGTCTGGAGAATTAGTGAACTGAGAAGGATAAGGGATGGGTGTTCTGGAAGAGGGAAGGATGTCTGTCTTGGAGAACACAGAACTGGCCTCCGTGGGTACACTGTAAAGGAGACAGCTTGTATTTGTGCAGGAGTTGGTCTGATCAGAGGTGCTGGACTTTGTCAATCCAGGGGAAAGGGTAGACAGTGACTCCATCTGAATACTTGTAACCTCAGAGGAGCTAGGCTTTGATGTGGAAATAAAGGTCTCCATTGTGGTGTAAGATGTAGCCCTGGGAGATGTTGATGTGGAAAGCTCTGAGTCCCATGACAGAGAGGACTGAGACTCCTGCCTAGAATGGGTGGGAGACACAGGAGCCAACACGGTGCTGGGGGGAGCATAATTATTGTGTAAGAGTGTGGTGGCTGGAGAAGAGGGAAGGGTTTCCGGTGAGGATCTGGAGGAGGTGAGGGATGACATGCTTAGGGAGGAAACACGGTCAGGAGATGGAGAGGAGGTCCCCGTGAGAAACAAAGTCGGAGAGTGACCGGAGACAGTGGGCACTGCATCTGAGGACATTGATGGAAGGGCCACAGGAGAGGCGATAGAGCCGCGCTGCAAACCATAGCTGCTGGTTCCTGCGCTGACCATGGCCACCTCGGGGGAAACAGACACTGTGTGTAAATGGGAGGGACGCAGTGAAGTGGGGACATTCTCATATGCGGAGCTTGCACTGTGAGGTAGGCTGGCCATGGGCAAAGAGCTTGTCCCCAGTGCACGCATGCTTCCTGGCAGGGTGGTGGTGAGGACTGAGATCACAGGACCAGTGAAGGAGGTCCTGGGTGACTCAGTGTTGACAGGTATAAGAGGAGGGGATGATTCAACATGAGATGTGCCCAGAGAACTCACAGGTTGACTTTCCTGCACAGAAAGGGTGCTCTGAGGGGGGACTTGGCTAGAATGGCTACTGAAAGGGGTTGCCTTCTCCGAAGGTGCAAGAGACATTGTGACAGTAGAAAGGATCTTGGATGCCGAGGTGGTCATGGTAGGTTGAGAACCAGTGGAGAGTGAGGGAAGAGACTGTGGTTCAGCCCTCTGAGATTGTGGTTCAGAACTTGTGTTGGGAGTGAGGTCCCTGGACACTTCCAGCATGATGGTCCTACTGCCAGTCCCAGTGGAGTCTGCCTGGCTGACAGTCTGTGTGACTGTGGTGGAGATGGTGTGGTCATGGTTCCCAGTGGTGAGGAAGATGGGTGCTGGAGACCCAGGTGGGTAGGGAGTGGATGCTTCTGGGCTTCCCGACAATGGAGAGATAACCCCCTCACTGGTGAGGAGCAAAAGGGCTGGAGACCCAGGCCAGGGGGGAGTGGATTCTCCTGGGGA